TTGAGAGATATAGTCTGGGGCACCCTGTATATATATATATATATATATATATATATATATATATATATATATATATATATATATATATATATATGTATATATATATATATATATATATATATATATATTTCCGCGGTCAGATGAATGAAAATCACTAGGTTCTCGGGAAGAACCGCGTTGAGAATTTAATGCTCGACGTTTCGGCTCCCATTTTGGAGCCATTATCAAGAGGGATACGGTTCGGTTCGAGTTCTGGGTCTCAATCTTCCTACTCCCCTCACTCGAAACGTACCAGTATCGTGTTCTGTATTATTACTCGAACCGAACCGTATCCCTCTTGATAATGGCTCCAAAATGGGAGCCGAAACATCAAGCATTAAATTGTCAACGCGGTTCTTCCCGAGAACCTAGTGATTTTCATATATAGGTATATATATATATATATATATATATATATATATATATATATATATATATATATATATATATTAGTGGATTTTCTTGGGCTTAGGTTCATAAAAAAAATGTAATTTATTACTAAGACATTTTTATATATTTTTTTCGACGTTTCGGCAGGAAATCTATGCCTTTTTCAAGAAATAATATTGACTAAAAAAACAATCTATGACAGACATAATACGGTTTAAAAAATAAACTGTTGACTTGCCAAGCATGTAAAAATTCGGTACTAACAAGTAGACGGTCACAATTAAAATAATATTAAAACATAGGACATACCCACTAAGTAACTACATGTAAAATACATTTTACATGTAGTGACTGTAAAAATACGAAAATTTTAGTATTTTGTCCGTATCATGCGACACCCAGAACGTTATGGAGTTCTCGACATTATTATCCAGGGCAAAATATGTTGAAAGAGGGGTTCTGGTGTAAGAAGCACATCATGACCTCGTAACCTACGTGAGTGGTTTAATCAGTATTCATCGTCTCTCTTCAGAGCTATGGTAAATAAAATTATGATACCCACCCATCGAGCAATAATTGTCTTATTGCTCGATGTACCCACCGTTCAGTAATGGACTTGGTATAGAAATAACAAAAGATGATATGTCTCTGACCTTCTATTAATGTTGATGACTTCGTCTTTAAGTAGGTACTGGCTACCAGAGCTATATTCTGCTGATGGGTTTCCTATTTACAAAATATTTTTTATTAGGTAGGATGAAAGCTGCTTCTTTGGTTTTTATCTTTTTCATGCTGCTTCCGTCATGACTATTGAAGCATCTTTCCCTAGAACTTTTTTATGGTCCCAGACATGTTTGCATATCTGGGATGTATTAAAGTCCCTGTTTTTGATGTCTCCAAGAAATCCCAGCTATAGAAATATTCCTGGGTCAATGACAACAGAGTAGAATACAATTTATATAGCAACAGCGTGTAACAACTTTGTTATTTAAATTAACATTCTTTCTTTTTTAAAAACGGTTTCCGGAGTGGAAATCGGAACGTCAAAACCAAATATAAAATGTAATTTTTTTGCAATTAATTGTGATTTAACCCTTAACTTAGACATACCACAAGAAACAGTTTTATAATATCTTTATTTTTATATGAAAAAACTAATTTTAGTGCATGAACTAAACCCACAGATCATTTTTGTTACTCTCTGTAATGAGTATCATAGCACACTACCACCTAGCAATGAAACTTCCGTGTTGACGAGTAAAACAATGATTGGCGCATCACCTAGTGACCGGGCGCCTAACTATAAATATATGGCGCGAAATTCAAAAGTTTAGTAATATTACTTAGGATTGTGTACTCATTTTAAAGTAAAGGAAAATCGATATAATCCTAAAATAACAAGAAAAATCCTTATCTTATACGATAATAAATATTTTTCGTATACTTTTTGGGTTTTCTTGTTATGTTGAGACTATATTTATTTTACATTACATTAAAATGCCAAAGTGGTTAAAAAAATTAAAGAATAAAATATAGAATAAAATGTTTATTTATAAAAATATTACAAGAAGTGTTATATGTGTTACAAGAAATGTTAATTATACAAGCCAAGTGTGTTACAAGAAATATTAATAATACAAGCCAAGTGTACTATAATTTAGTTTTCTTAATGTTGTGGCAAGAACTGGTCAGTATTTAAATAATTGTTTTGTCTTAGTATGTCAAGTTTTATGTAAATAGAAGCCTAATTCTGCAAAAGGCCTTTTACTACAATTTCATTCTCATAATTCGCAAAGAATTCAAACAGTGGTATATAACATTCAAGATTTTTTTAGGAGGCAATGAATCTAAAGATAAATCCCTAGAAGACAAAGATAAGTGCATGCTTGTAATAAATTTAGTCTATAATTACATAAGCGAAGCAATCAATGGGGAAAACCAATTGCTTTTTTCACACATACTCTCACAGATTCAGAATGAAAACATGCAAATGCGTTGAAGTATTTAAAAAATGCAGGCATTATCTGGTAGGAAAGCAATTCAAACCAATCACAGATTTTTTTTATATAGAATGCTGGCATATATAAAATCTGACAAGGAGAACTAGCTTTACTTCACAAGAATTTATTAATTATCTACACTCTAAAGGAATATTTCAAGTAGAACAACACCATATAACCATGAAGGAAATGGTTAAGTTGAAAGATACAATGAGTTATTTAGAAATTGGTGAATCTAGCATTGAAAACCAAATATTTAGACATAACTAAATGAAAAACTGCTTTACCAGGAGCTCTGTACTATATAAGAAGTTTACTATTGAATTGTTATATTATTGAATCACACTAATGATGAAGATGAAGTCCAAATAACACATTAGAGAATTCCACTACTAAATCAATGCCAGATGTGACAGAAAATTTACCTGTTCAAAAACCTGATGATAATTATGAACCAAGATTGGAAAATTCAGATTTTCAATCTAGCTGTAAATCAGCTGGAGCTAAAAATAAACCAAGATAGTTGCAATATTTTGTTCACAAATAGGGACGGGTAAATGTACTATAATTTAGTGTTCTAAATGTTGTGACAAGAACTTGTCAGTAATTAAATAATTTTTGTGGAATTCTAATAATTAACAGGTTTTATTAAACTGTTTATTCGGGCTGTTGGGCCGTTGTCTTCTGTTGAGATTAGTTCTCGACGTTTCGCCAACGCTAGGGTTGGCATCTTCTGGAGATGTTGATGCTTCGCTTGTAAGCAGAAACTGACGACGCGTTGTACTACGGAGGCAATATTTATAATTCCCACTCGCCTCCCCTCCACTGGTTTCGGCTTGAGGCTTCAAGCCGAAACCAGTGGAGGGGAGGCGAGTGGGAATTATAAATATTGCCTCCGTAGTACAACGCGTCGTCAGTTTCTGCTTACAAGCGAAGCATCAACATCTCCAGAAGATGCCAACCCCTAGCGTTGGCGAAACGTCGAGAACTAATCTCAACAGAAGACAACGGCCCAACAGCCCGAATAAACAGTTTAATAAGTTAGACGATGGCCGTGAAAGCCTAACGCAATTTATCAATTAAAGCCCAATAAGCAACAGACAGCCGTCAGACATTCTGAGTTCTTTGTAGTAGTTACATCCTAATCTAATAACACACACTACCAGTGGTCAGTGAGAACTCTTACTGTCTGGAGTTCTACTTCACAGAAAGACAGAACTCAAGAACTCTGCTAATGTGGAAACAGAAAAATTAAATGATTTAGTTGTAGAAAGAACTTTATATACATTTATATGATAATATTTTAGTCATATTTAAACCTATAAACCCAACAGTTAGCTCTGAGATTCTAAGATCCAGCACTATAAAGATGGAAAAATAACATTAAAAATAAAAAAATATGTAAAGTATTACCTAGTTACAATAAAAACATGAAGTATTTTACAAAGTTATGTTTCCAAACTCTATGTTACCAGTAACTCTTTTCTACTAATATTTATATATTTATTGAGAGACATATTAAATACATTTAGATTTAGGTTGTTCTACAAAATGGAACATTAAAAGTACATAGATGAGACAAACCATGGTAATATGGTACTCTAAGACCAATCTCACTCACAGACAGATCCCTCCTCGCACTTAACAGGCAAGCTCATAGACCTTTCCATATGATAGTGTAGTCATGGTCTGCTAATCTAATCCAACTTTGAAAGGCGCACACCTGTAGAAATTATGTCGAACCCTCTCTACTGTGATGATTTTTAAGATAGTTGTTGAACCACCACCTACAAAATAATTCAAATAGTAAGCAAGTAAGACTGATTTTATAATACATAATTTTAGGTTAAATTTATAATTAACTAATTTTATAAGTAAAAGGTCACATACATACATATATTGGCATAATAGTTCTTACCTGGTGTTGGTAAAAACAAACTCAGAAGGGCTGTTCTCGTAATACCGGTATGTCCAACATTAATTATATCGTCCTCTTTAAAATGACTAGCGCATACACGAAAATTGTTATAAATAGTTTCTGTTGCAGCATTCTATAATTAGGGCTCTTAACAAAATTTCCCCATTTATCAAACATATCCATATAAGAAAAACTATATTGTTTGCCAGTAGTATCCATGCAATCTGAAACACATCTTTTTTGTTCAGTTCTTCGTCTCTACATTGTTATTCCATGTAATGTGTTCGAGTCCATAATAAAAAATCGTCTAAAATTGTACCTTTTTGCACCACTTATATAAAAAATTTTAAATTATAAAATAAATTATAAAAGATAAAACAAATACAAATATGGCGCCGTATTTGTCAAAACTCAACTTTGAATTTTCCACAGCACACTCCCTCCGCGCAGGAAAGAGACTAGCAGCGCCACCATACGAATGGGCGCCAAATCCGAACATGATTTGGCCTTGGCTATCTCTGTTACCAATCTAGGTAAATTTATCTATGATGAGTATTGTCAAACACAATTCGATCCGATATCTCGATTATATAATCTCGATGTTACCTGAGAATCTAATCGATTAGAAAAATTCAATTGAACCATAATGGATCAAATAATGTAAGGTTAGATATGAGGTCAACAATTTAAGAATATTTTATTACTATCAAGGTCAAAAGTGTATCTTAGTTATCTTTTACCAACAAATTCCTACTTTTGTAAACAATCCGAATAGGGTGTGTACTTGTAGTTTAAAGTAAGACAATATTTTAGTTCATATTTTCTAATTGTTGATTAGTTACTTTAAGTTCTTAATAAACTACTCTTTTAGCTGAACAGTCTCGGTAAAAATGGCTCACTGCAAAATATGGTTAGATAACTACCACACTGGTCAATATTATCCTGGCAGTCAAATTCAAGGGAAAGTTGTCTTGAATTTCAGTAGTGAAACTACATTAAGAAGTAAGATACCTACTTGACATAATGAATTAAACCAAATTTATTAATAATAATACAACATTACTTATTTACAATTTTGTGGTGCAAAATAGACAAGAAATCGCCGGTGTATGATTTAAACCGCTCTCAATAAGTTACCTCATAAACTATACATCTTTCTTTTTTGATTTAAAGAAAAATTATATTGTTCCGGAAACAGGTAGAGAATAAAACAAATGATAAGAGATTTGTTCAATTTTTTTCTTCTGTGGAAAACAAAAAGGACCTTTAAGCTTAAATTACACAGCAGTCAACATAGCTCACTCAAAGATCACCTTATCCTAAATGTACCAGAGAAAAGATTAATTTTTGATTTGTAATGGCAAAATAAGAATTAATGTAATATAATAATGTACTAAAAAATATATAAGACTATCTTTTGTGGGTTTGCATTCCATATGCATGATGTTATGTGTGATCTTAATTTACGAGATATGAAAATAAATTTAATTACAAAGTTGAGACCTATGATATGTGGTCTTCGTAAAACCAACTTAGAGTTACATAATTACAATAGTGAAATACCAAAAATAATGACAGTAATAGAAAACTACTCAATAACAAAGAGTATCATTTACTCTACTATTAGATATATTATTTAGAGTTTCAGTGAATCATGTAAAATTATTTATATTTATTTTTAACAAAGAAAACAAAATTTGTAATAAACTGAAATCAATGAATATTAGTCAGTACCTAGAAACCACAAATAATATTTTTTCTACTGTTGTCAGTATTTGCTATTGAAAGTGTTAGAATGTAGTATTAATAGGTTATTCCTAGATATACAGATGGTAGATCGTTGATTTGTGCTATATTAGGTTTACTAATTAAAATCCCAACTGTCTAGTTTTAGTAACTAATTTTTGCTAAGTTGGTTAAACTATTATATACTGGCAGTAGTTGGGCATTACTATACAACCATGCTCATAAGTAATGTTTAGACAAAAAATATTCACATGCAGTTTATTGAAAAAATAAAACTACCACATCAATTAAAACAAAATATATTTTTGAAAATTTTTATTTATTTATTGATGAGTGTTTACAAATGTTTTTGATAAGTATTGAATATACACTTCCATTATTTATGAATATTTTTCTTTCTCAATAAAAGAAGTCTAAAACAGTTAGTTTATTTGGTCTATTAATGGTGAGAGGTATTCTAGGAATGTTTGTGTTGTATGTTTCTGACAATGTATCTATTGAAATATTCCCAAGCTGAGAAAATGGGAATATATTATACAAATCATGTACTGACAAATGTTAAATACAACAAATAAATCTATTTACATACATTAAAACTTGTCAGTCTGTGTATATAAGAGCTTAAATGTAAGTATCAGAGTAATTAAAAAACATATAATGCAAAAACTAATAACAATGAACAATAGGCCCATTCATGTTTAGTTTTATAAAATCATCTACAATATACCTACACTGGATTTTTCACAAAAATTTATTTAAGTAACATTTTTTTAAAACTTAAAATGCTAAGTCTGTGATTAAATGTGGTATACTATTATAGAAAGCAATTCCCAATTGTCCAGAACCATTTCCACATATGTCTAATCAGGTATAACCAGGAACTAAACTATTTTTTCCACAAATAGTGTATGGATGGATAGCTGCATTTTGTTTTATATGTTTTTTTTTAAGTTTATTATTTATTTTTATAAATTTTTACATCTCATATAGTTAAATACCAAGTCTGGAAAAGTTCTTTGGTAGTCCTCTATATGACTCTTAAATCCCTATAGAGTTCTTTAGCAGAGCAAAGATTCTGATTACCTGATATACATGGTCTCAAATAACAACACATAAGTCATGACAGAATGAAATGGGGCAAAATATGCTGTTCTCAATGTTACTAAAAAAAAGAGATAGATTCTTAAGAGTTGTGTAACATTTATTTTGTCAAATTTCATGTTATATACCATCATCATCGTCTAGCCTTCTGCATCCAAAGTTAAATATAGGCCTCCCCTAATTTCTTCCAGTACTGTTGGTCTTGAGCTTCCTGCAGCCAATTCCCAGTAACTTTTGAAGATTGTCTGTTCATCGTGTAGGTGGTCTACCTCTGCTTCTTTTGTCTGCATGTGGTCTCCACACTATTTTTTTTTGTTTCCACTGCCCATCATTCATTCTGCCAACATGGCCTGCCCAGTTCCACCTCTGTCAAGCTATGCGCTCTATGACATCTGTGTCCATATTTCCTTGTTTCTAACCCTATCTCTGAGAGTCAGTCCAAGTAAGGAGGGTGGTTAGGGTTAGATACATACGAGATGGCTTTCAAAGCAAAAGCGAAATAGCTTCATCAACCAATCTTTTAATAATTTACGATATAGTGTGGAGAAAAGGCATAATATACAACTTATCCTTGAATTCCTGCACAAAACAACAGCATACCTGATATATATAGTATGCTCAAAGGTGTCAAGTAGTTATCTTCTTCAATTGCCATTTCTGCAACAGGTTGATACTAATCATAACTATTCAGACTTTAGAGACAACTGATCTGAAATTTTCATCAGATGTACACCTGTATCATTCTCTCAGGTTTCGCAGTGATGATATTCTGTCTTCCTATGCTTATATTTCCTTGGATCTGTCCCTGCATAATCAGTTGGAACAAGTTGTATCTCTCTTAACATGTAACATGTCAGAGATTCCAAATTTCTTGTTTTGATTATACTTAAAGTTTCCATTTGATGTAGTTATAGGTGCATGCATTGGTAGATTGAAACTAAAAATGGCCAACTACAAGAATCTATATCTGAAGAACTGTATATTGCAGATATACCATAAACATAATCACAAAATTTCAGATATGCCAATGACTTAGTCCATATTACAAGCTGTACTGTCATTGCTTTTAATGGAAAAGTCTTACAGCAATTGGAGTTTCATGTGTATTTTATCCCTCTTTTCTTGTCTTCTAATGATTTATTAATGTTTAGAGTAACTAGATGCGCTCCTATTCCTGTAAGGAAGTTTAGTATATCTAGAGGCTTTATGTTGGGGTAAGTTCTCCTCTTCTAATTCATATGCTTCCAGATGTGTTCTAGAGTTCCTTAGGCCAGTGGCCTATAAGTATTCCTGTTAAAGTAAGTATGTAGTTTTTTTTTTGTTTAAACTAATGCAATCCTTTTATATTATAGTTCTCTATACATATTTTTCATTGTCCCATTTCTTTTTAAATTGTTTAGAGGTTCGTATCTTTTGTGATCTACTTCTATTTGAATTTCTTCTAACATCAAGCTGATACTTCTTCTACAAAAAGAGTTCCAATCCCATAAAAAGTGCTTTTGCACATTTTTTGTACAATTTGTCTGCAATTTCATGTCTTCTTACTCCAGTATGTTTTGGAATTGAGGCAACTGAATTATGAGTGCTTACTTGATTTAATTTCTTCATGTGTTTACATACCACTTCATAGTGGATCACATGTGATTTCAGTGCTTTGATGCCTGCTTTACCATTCGACATCATTACAATCTCTTTTCTATTAGCGTGAGTTTCAGCTTACTTATTTGACACTTTGCTCAAGCTTTCTGAATCTGTTTGACACAAAGTTTGATACAAAATTTGATACAAAATTAATTGAAACTTAGGTCTAATAATTTTCGCGTTGGTCATCCTATATTATGGACCTTATTTTCACTCTCTACTAGGATGTGTAAAGTCATGAGATCAAGGTACTTCCATAGCAGTTGTTGGACATGTTTTCATTGCTCCTGTAATACATGCTCAAGCTAGTCTTTGAAGTTCTGCGAGGATGTTCCTCATGTTGCTTAGACGGGCTCTACCTCCACGGGATACTGTCACATCTCAAGATTTTTGGGTAAAATCCTCGGTTTTTCCTGCAAGGATTTTGTGGCCTTGCTGATCACTGTTTTTCCAGATGAGTTAATTGTCTAGGATAATTCCTAGATATCTAACCTATTTAACCTGTCCCCCATCTTTTTGCACTATATTTTGTATAGTTCAGTCCTCTAAATTATGTCACAGTGGATGTTTTCAAACTATCCCTTCGCAATTAAGACGATGTATCCTTGGAAATATAGCCCGAGGTTTGTCAAATTGCAATGATGTTGGTCTTGTACTAGGCTTCACATAAATGGGGATGCAACTCCTTGTGAATATACGATGTAGGACAGGGGTCACCAAATGGCGGACCGCGGTCCGCATCCGGACCGTGAGCTGGTTTTTTGCGGTCCGCCGTTAGATTCAAAATACAGTAATAAAATTATAGTGTAAAATTATAATCAAATCTAAAAATATAAATATCTTTACATTTTTAAAATGCACAGTACTAATACTGTATAAAAATAATCGTAATCTAAACAATATGTTTCGACTAAATGGTTTTCCAAAATTTCAGGTAGTACCTACCTCAAAATAATCTTTTAGCAAACTACAATAGGGAAGCTGTCTGAACACTAAAGTTATTTTAATTTGCATATTTATGACGTACCTAGTAACCAGTCTATAATAAAACTAAAATGTTTTTCCAGATTTTTTCAGTTCAGCCTCAGATCATTTTTCCGAAATATTCTGAGACTTCTTTACGCATTTCCTAAATGCTTGCCAAATATAAGAAGCCATTTAATGACTCGGCTATCGTTAAAGGGTGTTTTCTGGAAGCAAGAAATTCTTTATTTGAAAATAAAAAGGATGTTGTCGATACTTTTTATCGTATTCTAATATCTACTACTTCAAACACAAGGAATACACAGGTATTGACCGATGAAACATACAAAACGTTAAAACAAATCTTGGCTGTCACTAAATATTTTACTTTGGCATTGGATGAGTCATGCGACATTCCAGATACATCACAGCTTGTCATTTTCGTGCACTACCTGAACAGAAGACAGAACCAGTGTTGAGTTTGTTGAAGAACTTTTGACAATTTTGCCAGGACGGCGCTGCAGCTACGGTTAGGTGTAGAAAAGGCTTGG